ATTTTATTTTTTTTAAATATTCGTCGGTAATTTTGGGTGGGGCCCTATGTACCCCAGTTGCCCCCCAGCTGGTGGCGCGTTGAGTGACGTGGTGCCAGCTTCTTGCGTTTTGCCCCCCATCAGCGCCATTAACGCTCATGGAAGTAAAATATTTCAAATTTAATAATGATAGAGTACTTAGCTTTATATTGGTACCGTGGCGGCAGAAGTAGTTGAAAATCAGACGCTGCGCCATCAAATCACTAAGCGTGTATGCAGCCCACTGGTGATGTTGCTTGTTTAGCGGAGAAAGGACGCGAGTTCAATTCCTGTCGGCGGCAATAATATTTTTGACTCAGAGTGGAGCAAGGATGGATGGGGCGGACTGGTGACGCGGGCCGGACGCGAGTTGGGCTTGCGCGCGTCGCGGGCTGGGGGAAGATGCTGCGCGGGTTGGGCCGCGAGTTGGGCCGGACGCGAGTTGTGCTTGCGCGCGTCGCGGGCTGGAGGAAGATGCTGCGCGGGTTGGACCACGAGTTGGGCTTGCGCGCGTCGAGTGCTCGCGCGAGTTGGGCCGCTTGCACGCGTCGCGGGCTGGGGGAAGATGCTGCGCGGGTTGGTGCGCGAGTTGGGCTTGCGGATGATTAAATAAAGCGCTCCGCCTAGTTTCTCACCCATTAATGTTGTGGCATACTGGTTATGTCGCTTGTCTGATTGAGAACTGGCGTGGGTTCAATTCTCTGCGGGAGCGTCAATTCAAATTTTTTTTTTTTTTCAGAGATAAAAGCGGAGCGGACCGCGGCGCACTGTTGGGCCGCGACCGCGAGTGGGCTTGGTTGCCAGACGGCTCTTTCTCTCTCTCTTTTTTTTTTTGGTTCTTTCGAACTGAGTGGGCGCGAATAGTGCGGGACTATTGCTATTTTTTGTTCCGTGGAACTGAGTGGGCGCGAATAGTGCATGACTATTGCTATTTTTTTTTCTTTTGAACTGAGTGGGCGCGAATAGTGCGGGACTATTGCTATTTTTTGTTCCGTGGAACTGAGTGGGCACGAATAGTTCGTGACTATTGCGACTTTTTGTTCTTTCGAACTGAGTGGGCGCGAATAGTGCGGGACTATTGCTATTTTTTGTTCCGTAGAACTGAGTGGGCGCGAATAGTGCATGACTATTGCTATTTTTTGTTCTTTCGAACTGAGTAGGCGCGAATAGTGCGGGACTATTGCTATATTTTTTCTTTTTCTTTTTTATTTTTTTTTGTTCCGTAGAACTGAGTGGGCGCGAGTAGTTAAATATTAGACGTCGCGCCATTGAAACACATGGTCCGCATGTAGCCATTTGGTAATATTGCATGCCAGGCGGAGGAGTGGCGCGGGTTCGATCCCTCGCTGTGACAACATTTTTTTGGAGAGTTCCCCGTCTCTTGAACGTCCTCGAGTTGGGCCGCCTATGGTGCGGGCCGATAGTGTTGACGCGGGCGCGCGGGACGCGAGTAGAGAAGGCGGGCTCACGTGACACGGGCCTGGTATGGGAAGGTGGGACGCGAGACAGTGCACGACCGGTGATGAGGTGGCGGACTGGGCAGGTGGTACTACTGGGGCGCGTATTGGGCCCCGAGTTGGGTGCGCACAAGTGGGCCGCGAGTATTGTGCCCTCGAGTTGGGGCGCCTACGGTGCGGGCCGATAGTGTTGGCGTGAGTAGTTAAATATCAGACGCCGCGCCATTTAAACAAAGGCCTCGCATGTAGCCTGCTGGTAGTATTGCGTGCCAGGCGGATGAGTGATGTGGGTTCAATTCCTCGTGGCGACAATAATATTTTTGGCGCGAGTGGAGCGTTGACGGACCGCCTGTTGGGCCCGAAGCGGCGCTGGCCGCCGCGAGTTGGGACTCGGGCTGCGGTTTGGTGGGCCCACGCCGTCTGTTGCTGTTGAGGCGAGTAAGAGTGGATACATAAGGCGCGCTGCGCTTTAGTAGCAACAACGCGCTTTAGTCTGCTGGTTAACTCCCACGTCTGGTGGAGGAGTGACGTGGGCTCAATTCCTCGTGGTGACAATATTATTTTTGGCGCGAGTGGAGCGATGACGGACCGCCTGTTGGGCCCGAAGCGGCGCTCGCCGCCGCGAGTTGGGATTCGGGCTGCGGTTTGGTGGGCCCACGCCGTATGTTGCTGTTGAGGCGAGTGAGAGTGGATACATAGGGCGCGCTGCGCTTTAGTAGCAACACCGCGCTTTAGTCTGCTGGTTAACATGCTCGTCCGGTGGAGAAAGGATGCAAGTTTGAGTCTTGACGACGATAGCATTTTTTGAGTGCTGTTGGGGTTCGGGCTGCGACAAGTCGGCGCGTCATCCGTGGGTTGTGTGACGCGGGGGTGGGCCGATCTTATCCATTTGGGCCTCGGCAAGCGGACTAGGGTAATGAAACCCTTGCAGCAGGAGGGAGAAAGTGGAGATTGCCTCGGTAACTCCCCCAACTCCTCTTTCTGACAGAAACTCATTTTCTGAAAAAGTAAAGTGACATTTTCTCTACTTTTTGCTATGCACTGTAGATGGACAGATCTGCTTTTTGACTTTGAGGGCCAAAAGTTGGAGAACGTTGGGGACGAGAGAGTGACAGGAGCTGCGGCCATCTGTTTTTTTTTTCTTTTCTTCTTCTTCTTTCAGATGCCGCTGCTTTGGTCGGAAATTGCAGCGACTGTTGTTGCTCGTAGCTGGTGTTAAGTCCCCTCTTTCTTCAACCTCTGATGGGTTTTATTTTCATCTTCAGGGATGGATATTGAATCTTCAAGTTGGTGGCGGGGGAGGCGATCTCTTCCCCTTCAGAAATCAGACTAAAGAATGCACCAGTCAGCCCCACGGTGGGCGCCAATTGTTTGTGCCAACTAGCTCAGGACACGAACAATGATATTTGTTGGTGCGGGGTTGACTCACGATCCGTTCGTCCGATCTCGTCGGGAGAGAAGAAACCTGTGAAAGAGTCGGGGTTGCCCCCCCGGATTAAGCTCCGACGATCAAGTCAGTGTATGTTTGTGGAGAGAGTTGAGAGAATAGATGGAGAGATAAAGTGTAGAGAGATAGTAGAAAGTGGAAAGTGAGGAGAGAGAGGAAGTCCCCCTTCATTGGTGGATTTCATACCTTTATATACCCGTAGCGGGTTTAGAGCGTCATCCGTTGTCGATTGGACGCGGTATTACTTATTCTCTGCGGGGAGTCTCTTAGCAACACCCCCAACAGTAGGATTAAGTAGTGTTGATATAATCTGAATCGAATTATAGAGTGAAAATTATGGGATTTTATTGGTTATTAATATTATTCTTTGTTAGATTGGATTAGGATTAGGCCGTTATAGAAGTACTATATATATTTCTCATAATTTGTTATAATCTATAATCTACTCAAGTAGAGCAGTTGTGGTTCTCTCTTGCCTGTGGACTCACTAACACACGTTGTGTTAGTGAATCACGTAAATTTATGTTTTTTTTCTTCTATCGCTGTCTTTCTTATATTGTCGATTATCCTGATCCATCCGTTACACATGCTTTGATGACATATATAAATTATGGATGATGAATATTCAATAGTCATCTATTCACTTTATTTTATATGATTGAGGTTGTCCGAAATCGAATTCTTCACATTTACTAGTATTTAACCAATAGATCAACCGAAGTTCATCTTTTCGGTTCATTCATAACTTTAACAATGGGTGAATATGTGCAACTAATTAGAACCATAGTACTTACCTTAAGAAAGAAAGAAGTGGAATAAGCCCTCGGCCAGTTGCCTTGGAAAGCACTCCACCTATAGATACTTTAGTTTGTCCTCTTACCTAGGGAATTTGGGGGGAGAAAGGAAAGAAGAATGAGTGGGGTAGAAGTAGAGGGAATTATATGCATAGTTCACTAGATAGGTGAGATATTGATTGATGGTAGGCTAACTAGGAAATTGGTTAGAGACAAGGAAGGACTTGTACATAAAAGAAAAGGGGAAATGATGGAGGATGGTGATCCAATTAGCTTGAATTAGAAGATATTCATTGGGGGGAAAAAGGTATTTTCTCTTCCTAGCTTTGAGGTGGGGAAGAGATTGTTCCTAAGTTTCCTGTGCTATGATTGAGTGATCTTTCACTCAAATATCTTGTCAATAATATGTTATAATCATTAATTTAATTACAATTAATTTAATTATGATTATATAAGATTCAAAATTAATACGTAGTTTAATCATATATAGTACTGTTTATCTCAGTTACATTAAAATTAAAAAAATATTATCCAAATTTAATGTCTTTATTATGTTTCATTTTTCTTATTTTAGAGTTTTGGGTTAGTTTGTTAGTACCCTTAGGAGGGGAAGCCATAATTCCCAACACACAAAGCCCACTTTAGAGTATTCATCATGGTTAGCAATTTAGCATTCAAGTTTTGGCAATATGATTGCTTACACTCTCCCTAACTCCCATGCTTAATAGCTTTTCCTTCTGTCCTGAATTTTGTCCACTTTCTATATCTAATACAAGTAAGTTTATCATTAGAAAGTTTTTTCAATTCGTGAAAGAAAGAAACAAATATATTCTTTGTTAGGAGTCTCACAAAGTTTGGAGTACATAAACTTCCCCATTTATCAACTAAGTAATAACTCGATTTTTTTATTAATCGTTTTCTTATTGTGTTAGAAACCAATTTCTGTAGGGTTTCTCTATTTATTAATATAATTATTATTAGGATAATTATCAATAAGGTTAGTAGTCATTTAATAGAATTATGTTATTATTAGGATTTTCCGGTATTTCCTATATAAATGTACTTTGGGGTCTCCATTAAGAATCAATCAGAAAAGAATCAAGAAAAGTCTATCTCCCTAAACCCTATTCTCTCCCAACTCCTCTATCCCTAATCCGGCCGTCGGCCATTCTTTCTCGTTCTTCCCCCAAATTCTACTTCTTAATCCCTAATTCTATTTTTCAAATCCCTAAATCCCCAATTATCAATCCCGTTAGAAAATTTGTTTTTAACATCTGGTATCAGAGCCCGGTTCGAGAATTGAGTTCACCACAACTCTCATCCGGGGACGAGTTCTACAACTGGTTCGACGATGAGCTCTTCAAAGCTCTCGAACCTGTCGTGGGCAGAGCTGCGTGACCGGGCTCGCCGCATCGGCCGTCGTTGGAGCTCCGAGGAGCTGCCGACCGGGAATGCCACCACCGCAGAAGAGCAACTGTCGGTTGTGCAGGTTGACTCAGAGGGTGAAGTTGAGAGGCGAGCAGAGAAACTGAACGTGGAAGAGGTTTTGGAAATCGAACCGCCAGCCACGGAAGAGCTTCCAAACGTCACCAACAAACAGCAGCAGCTTTCGACAGCATCGGTCACCACGACTGCGACTTCACTACCAACACTGTTTGCAGCGGTTGGACAATCATCCAAGGCTGCCGATGGTACTTTCGCGGTCGTGAGTGTAGAAGAAGGTGTTCCTGCTTCTTCCATCCTTGTTCCCGACAGTGAGAAGACCAACGCCTTGGAAGAAGAAATCCAAACCGAGGGTTTGGAGGGGAGACCAACACCGCGTCATGTAGCAAGCTGGCGGTCTCGGAAGAAGCCGAAGACGGACGAAGAGGAGTCCGGGGCCGCCGCGTCAGCCATCCCTACTACACCGAACGACATTGGGGGCTTGCCCATGTCGCCGCCAGCCACAGTCAAGGAAGTCTGTTCGTCAATGGAAGCTGGGATGGAAACGAAGATGGCGTCGCCGGGTAACGACTCGAAGGATTCGTCGGCGAACGAAGTGGACGAGGATGGCTCTCTCTCTCTCCCGATTGAGGGCGAACCTCAGTCGCAGTTGAAGAGGAATCCGCCGGAGATGGAGAAGGAGAGAGGCAGTGTTGAGCTTCCTCGCGCGTTGCCAGAGGTGGAGAGGAAGGAGGCCGTTGACGGCGGGACCCTCTACCCGTCGAGGAAGAAGAAGAAGAAGTGGAAACCGGAGCGCGGAGTCGGAACCAATCGACGACTCCAAGCAGGGCCAACAAAGGGTCGCCGAGTCATCTCACTGTCGTTGCGAGGTGCACGGCGCTTGTCGGCAGTTCCACTTGCGGTGATGAAGGTCAGAAAGTCGATGCTGGAGACCGGCGGAACGGAGAGGAGCGTAGCGGCGTTGAGCACGCTCCCTGGCCGGCGGATGAGTGCTCCGCTGGCGAAGAAGTTGGAGGAGGCGAATCACGACGTTGGCTATCAGCGAGGATGCGAAGCAGAGGAGCAGATGCGGCGGGTGTCCGCGACGGTGACCCGAATCGCCCAGACGCCGCGATCTGCTGTTGTGGAGCCAACGGAGTAGAAGAAGAAGGGATCGTCGGAGGTGAGCTCGACAGGGACGAGCGTTACCAGAGAGTGGCCACCGTCGGAGGAGGGATCGAAGCTGATGACGACCGAAGTCATGGAAGGCGGCGACGGCAGACCCCTGCTCCCATACGAGCCGCGGCGACTCTTTCCCTTCCACGAATGGCTGCCGCAGCGAAGCGAAGTGAGCCCAAGCACAATGGCAGCTTACACTACTAGGCCTGGTCCTGGGCCGAAATGGGTTCAGATCGAGGGTGATGATGAGCCATGGAGAATGGGCGAACCGGATCAGCGGATTGGGCCAGAGTTCATAGTTGCGTGGGCTGAGCAAGGGTTCGGATCTGGGCCGAGGTTTGCTAGCCAAAAAGTTGAGTGGGCTGAGCAAGGGCTCGGATCTGGGCCGAGGTTTGCTAGCCAAGATGTTGAGGAAGGTCACGGGCTGGCAATTAATAAAAAGTCTGATGGGCTCTCCTTGGGCTGGATTCCAATGGACTATCTTATTACATTTAGTTTGCAGGGAAGTGACGTGAAGAAAGGAAGTAGTGGGCTCGTTGAGTTAGGAGTTGGACTTTCAAGGAAGGTTGATCCAAATTCACTTGGAAGTGAATGGAGCCCAAAAGAGCTTGTCTTCATCGTGCACATGACTAAATCAATGGAGCTGACCATTGAAGGTTTCAAGGTGGCTGAGAGGCACAAGGAAGGACAGTTCTCCAATTCTTATTTTGTGAATTTCGAAAAGGAAAATGACGAACTGTTCGGCTATGCAAAACGTGACATGTGTCACGTGATTCAAGAAGGTTCAAGGAAAGTTGGATTTGTGCGAGTAGAGTTCATTCGAGTAGTGGAGCACAATTGGAAGAAACGGAAGCGCAGGAAATGGAGTCAGGATGTAGAGTGGGTCAAGTGGTTCAACCTTGAGGGCAAGGTTGGTCTGAAGGGGGAAGAGATGTTAGAAACCAATTTCTGTAGGGTTTCCCTATTTATTAATATAATTATTATTAGGATAATTATCAATAAGGTTAGTAGTCATTTAATAGAATTAGGTTATTATTAGGGTTTTCCGGTATTTCCTATATAAATGTACTTTGGGGTCTCCATTAAGAATCAATCAGAAAAGAACTAAGAAAAGTCTATCTCCCTAAACCCTATTCTCTCCCAACTCCTCTCAATTTCTCCTCTATCCCTAATCCGGCCGTCGGCCATTCTTTCTCGTTCTTCCCCCAAATTCTACTTCTTAATCCCTAATTCTATTCTTCAAATCCCTAAATCCCCAATTATCAATCCCGTTAGAAAATTTGTTTCTAACATATTGTTTCTTGTGATCACTTCAATCAGTCGAGTCTGGTCTAAGAAGAGAATTCGTATTTTGTTAAACATGTCTAATTCTAAATTTTGCGGCTCAATTCTTACACATACGAATCTTACATAATTACACAACTGGTGGTCACAACGGATTGAAAATGATTGTACTATCAAACAATGTAATAATCATTGTCATAGAACCACCATTTATCAGTTTATATGATCATCAAATGTCATGGTGTGAGGACTGGTTTTAGTTATAAAACCGGGTTACTAAAGTTTTTCAATATTGCTCGAATAAGTGAGTTGGACTTGTGCAGAAAAACAGAAGCCCAAGTTCAAACTAAGAAAAGGCCCAACTGGTAAGGTTGCCAAGTTAGCTTGATATTATATTGCAGCCTGAATTTTGCGCCAGGTAAACCTACAAACAAACAACAATGCCTTCCTTCTGAACTTGATTTCCAACTGATGCATTGAATCAAAGCAGCAAAGCACAAATCCAGAAACTCCAGACGGATACATATAACAAAAGAGATACATGGCTAAGCCAAAGAAAGAAAGAAGAAAACAAACACAGACTAACCATTGGACCAAGTAATTATAGATCACAAACCTAAAGAGTTTGATGGTACAATCCACACGGGTGGTGGCCAAACCAAACCAGGTTTGTACAAGTCAGTAGAGCAAAATGATTCAGTAGTGCCATCACTGAGGTGATAAACCGCCCATATCATGGCCTCCAAACCTTACTCCGTCGTATATGTTCGTTGAACTCGTCGTCTGTGAAATAGATGCAATTCGATTCAACTCCCGGGTAATCTTTGGTAGAGAGATAGGTAGGCGTATTGGTACCCTACGAACAGAGCAAAATCACCAATGCTTTGCACCGCGGCCCATTGACGTGTATCTTCGTTGAGCTTGTAAACCTTGAAGGTAGACCTATAATTTGCAGTTCCTCTCGACTCCACCATCTCAGTATCCGTGTCCACATCAGGAACACAGAAAACACTAGCCTGATTGAGCATGTCAACACCATCAACGAAAACGGACAACGTAGGGGACTGCAGGATTCGACAAATCACAACGCAGAACTTTGCCATCGTAGTGCACGGCATAGAACTGATTCCTCCAGAACACAATGTTCTGAAAATGGTTGACATCAGGATTGGGAATCAATACCCACTCGTCCTCTCCGGGCTTGCAGAACGCCAAATACAAGTATTGGTTTTTTTTTTTTTTTCTTTTTTGTCAAAAGATAATCTGTATTGATCACAAATAGATAATTACATCCTGGATTCCAGCCAGGCCTGAAAATCAAAGAAACGACTCATGGTCGGGTACAAGGAGAGGGCTTTCCTAGCCACCAAATGGGCTACCCTATTACTACGCCGACCTATAAACCGAATCCTAAACTCAGGATGTGTGTGAAAATAATGCACAACTTCTTCCAGAATACCACCCACCCGATTATCTCTAATATCCCCTTGACTGATTTTATCAATGACCACCTTCGCATCACCCTCAAATTGAACACTGGTCAAGTTATTCGCCAGACACCACAAAACTGCCTCCCTCAGAACAACCAGCTCCACTGTCATAGGGTCCTCAAGGAACTGCAACTGGACGGCCTTAACCATAAGCACAGTCCTAGTAGGGGATAACAAGACTAACCCTCCAGCTGAATGTGAACCAGGGCGAATCGCCCCATCCCACATACAAATGACCCGATCAGTCTCCTCCAACCCGAAATGAACCCCCTAGGGACCGTGGGCCGGAGAGCCCGAAATACATGTATTGGTTATGGCGGATGACCATCACAAATTCACAATGCAGCCCTCCGAAGTGGGATCAGGAGACGACATTGCGAATCTCCTCATGTAGTTGAACCCCAAACGCCTCTTCCCTAGCCTTAATTTGCCGCCATGGGGGAGGGGATGTCGAACCAAATACTCAAGATCCAGTCTTTTAGGGTCATACTCCAAGACATCTGACAAAGAAGTAATGGGTGGGAGACTGGGAGTTGGATTTGCTTAACAGTGGAGAGGGTTCAGCAACAGTGGCGACTCCGACACCGATTAGGATTAGGAGAAGGAGGAAAATTAACATGGACGTAACTGAACTAATTAATACATACAAAATCGATCAAATTAACACAAGCACCAAAATAACCATACCAATGGAAACCTACCCACAATCCCTTTCTTGTCCGGAATCTCCTGCTGGTACACTTAAAACTTTACAAAAAGAGCAGGCATCCGGCAGAACTGCAGAAGCAGAAATCCAGAGAGTCGAGATGCATGGTACACATAAAAACCCGGAACCGATAATGTCCTTATCAATTCGGTTTCGGTTTAAACACCGATACCGATGTCCTAGCCCTACATGATACAAAAGAGAGAGGCAGTCTGGCCTTTTTTTGTTCAAAGTGGAACAGGTAAAGATGCATGGTACTTCTTAGCTATCAAACACTAATTAGTAGGAGGAAGGTGGAGGTGTAGGAGGAGGGCTCCTGGGGATGAAAGGGTTGAGTGGAGTCCCATGTTCAATTGGCCCTGGTTTCACTGATGCCTTTGAGCTTGGCACTGGATCTATCGGCCTGTAATCTTCCAGCCCCACCACATCACCTGCTGCTTCTTCTTCTGCAGAATGTTGCTCGGATTTTGAATCCTCCTGCTTGCAAGTATTCTCAATCATTTCCTTCACAAATGCATGAATTCTCAAATCCTGTAATGTGTGAATGTAAGAATACCTGAAGCTTCCTGCTAGTTATTGCTGCTGCTGCCACTACCACCGTGTCAGTATGGACGCCGAAGGCTGCTTCTGACAGCCATGAATAATACAACAAAAAGAATTCAGTGGGCTTTTATTTTGAGGGGTTTTGGTGGTTGACAATATTTTATCATTCAGTTCATTCATTCCAGTTTCATATGCACAATCTGTTCCATTTAACACGAGAAAAAATGGCCATGATGTGAATTTGGCAGTATGAATACCTACCGCTTGTTGCTTGAGAACTAATGAACACAGTAGATCTCTTCATAACAAAAGAGCTATAACATGAGAAGGAACTCCCGATTATTATGTAAGTCACGATCATTATGACATTGAACGAGTAATTAAGGACAGACAGCCAAACATGACTGACTGGTGAAAACCAACTACACTTGTTTACTCTCAGAGACAACCACAAGGTAGATCCATTGGAGAGAGGGAAACCGGATAAAACTCTTCACTAGACATTTCTAATACTAGTATACTACTCCAATCTATACCTGCAAATCTTGAGGCAGAGAAAAATCCATAAAAAATACAGTAAAAATACCGGAGGACAGCTGAGTCTAATCATCTTGAAACCTCAAACCTTGGACATATGAAGCAGAAAAAGACACAGTTCTGTTTACTTCCTCGTAGACACACCAAAACAAGAAACAAACAAGAAGGGTAATAATATGAAGGGAGGAGAAGAAAGCATACCGGGAATAGGTAAGCTAGCTGCGCTGATGCATGCAGATGAGTTAAGCAGCAGCATTAAAGCTGTTCCAGCCACCACCAACAAGTACATTACCCAGTTCCCAGAATTCCTCTTCATAGCCAAAGAAGCTAGCTTTCCTCCCCTTTTGGAAGGGAGGGGGATCCTTTTTCAAGTGTCGTCAGCCTAACCAAAATAGAGGTATGGGGAGAGGAAGGAATTCCAAAAGTCAGAAACCCGTAAACAGGGAAGAGTAAGAACAAAGAAGAAGAGAAGGAGACTTGGCAGCTAGGAGACTAAATGATGCCCATGTCTCTCTGCTTTGAAAGCGAGCTCAGCTAATGTGATAATATTGAATAAGTAAATGAAAAGGAAAAAAGAAAACCATGGGTGGTGTTTAATGCAAAAGCTTGATAGCATACCCCAAGAATAATGGCAATTGGCGGTAGATATTCGAGCCCTCCGATATCTTTCCCTCCCTCTTCTTCAATTTTCTTTACCCCTCTTCCACCACCTCTGGTTTCTTACTGTTGGCAGCAGTGAGTGCCAACTGTAGCGAAAGTAATCTCTTGTTGTTGCGACACGACACTGCGGTTGAGGGTTCCCCATGGCAGCAGCATTTAACGCCCCGTGATCCGACTGACATCTGAAGAGAAGAAGAACCCTCAAACCTCAAGGTGAAATGAGAGGCAGGGGAATAAATAGAAGAGATAAAGATTTAAACCCACAATTGTATCATGAAAGTCCATCGCCATTGAGAACTCGAGGACCAGAGGGATTGACGATTCTGCCTCTATAACGGGTCAGGATTAATACAGCTGAAGCTTAAATACTTGCTAGAGAAGTTAACGAAGTTCCAGGTTTCAGAGTAGTTTCCGTTAAGCTTAGAACTGTATCGGGTTTGATTTATAGGTGCTTCACTAGAAGCTCAGCTTCTAGATGTACACTCTGGTGGAAATTGTGAAGTTAATGATGAACTATGGTGATCCACTGACACAGAACATCTGTACCACATGTTGACATGCCACTGACGATTTCAAAGCGATTAAGCGACCCACAAGAAATCCAACAACAATTCTCATTCAAATTTCACTGATGATAAGTAGCTATCTAGTTTAACATGATCAAAACCAAGCAATATTATCAAAACCTTCATGTCCACAACGACAAGTAAAATACTATCGAGTAAGAATCTTCATCGCCAGCAAGCTCTTTAAGAAACCCATCCAGCAACATCAGTGCTCCAATTCAACTTAGCGATACTGGTAATAAAGGGAAAAACGTGAGATGATTAGGGTTCGGTTCGATGAAACTGTTGAGAAAACAGCAGACAGTTTATCAAAATAGAAATGGAAGGGTTCTGTTTTCTACCTTAATGAAACCAATCTCCTTGGCGTTGCTGCGGAAGCACTGCCTGCAGCACATGAGCCCATACTTCCTGATGATTGCATGAGGGTTGCCACACACACGGCTGCCAAAAACCGCACCATGGTAACAGGTTAGAAATGGTGCATCAAGTAAAAAAACCCAATACAGAAAGTAAATCCTAAACCCGGTGCCTCGGAGCAACTAAACGCTAACCAAAGCAAATTCATTAAACTGGACTTTTCGCAGAGCAAATGGCAGAAGAACCTTGTAGTATGGCAACAAGGAACAGGAATTCGACAGCAACAGACTACATCATCCATCAAGCGACATACGAATCAAATATGCTCAATAGGGTATAAACACAAATTCGTTGCACAGAGTGATACTCCCTAAACAGAATTTCTAAAACACAGGGTTCTTTGGGAGCTCAGATTACACTTACAGCATACATCTCCACAACCAACCATTAAGCATCGTAAGAAATAACATTAGGCAATCAACCTAGTTACGTCTACAAAGCAAATTCTCGAAGCCAATTAACTAAGGGATCAACAGAGGACATCCTCGCCGGGAACGCTAATCGTCAACAACAAAACCCTAATCGGAGATCCGACCAACTACAGACGATGCAGATACGGATCCAGAAAACAGTCGACCATAGACATAAACGGAAACCAGGGAAAACCCCCAGCCGAGAAGAAGAAAGCTACGGGAAAAAGACGACTCACCAAGCCCTGGATCCAGGACCGTAGGTCTTGGGATGAGAGTTCCAGACGTTTTGATGACCCATGGTTAGTTTTCTTGCCGCTGCGCCGCTGTGGGTGCTAACTTGGAGCTGGGTGAGAAGAGAAACTAACAAAACCCTAATCCGCGTCAGTGTTTGTTTGTTTTATATGTAGTGACTGAGGCGGTTTGTTGTGTGGGGAGGAATATGATCGTACGGCCGCAAATAGTCTGAGTTTTGTCATAGACTCATTGTTAGGGTGGGCGTTCGGTCGGTTCAGTTTAAACCGAACCGAATTAGTATATGCCGAATTTACAAATTAGTCTGCACCTCAATCGAATTCGAGCCGAGTTATAACTCGGTTCGATTTGTCCGAACCGAGTTATATTCCGGTTCGGTTCGGGTTACCTATCTATCCCGAACTTCCAGACCCCTCCCTCAAATCTCTCTCTGCCATTAATCCGCCTCCCACTCCCACTTTCCTCTGCCCGTCAAACTACTCTCTCCATCTCCCTCTGCTACTTGCCCTCAAATCTTGCTACCATTAATCCTCCTCCCATCCCCTCCTCTTCCTTCTCTACTCTCTAGCGCCGTCCAGAATCCCCGTCGACCAACTCTCCCTTCCACTCCTCCCTCTCTTCTCTTCTCTCCTCTGCGGCTTTGACCACTGCGAGGGTGGAGAGAGATGAGGCGCGCCGCCGTTGCATGCCACCATGGATCTGGAATAGGGTGTCGCCGCCGCCCGCCGCAGACGAGGCGCCCCGCGGTTGCATGCCGTCGTGGATCTCGGATAGCGTAACGCCGCAGACAACGGCATGTCACAGCCAATATCGTGAACGGCAGGAGCGGATCTAGATCCCGCCTTGGTAAATCCATTATGTTTTTGTTTAATTCAAATGTTTTGTATGCTTTTGCCAATCTGTGATTTTGTTTTTGTTTGGTTTTCTGAGTTTGGTCGGCGATGAGAAGAGAACGAAGGGAGGGGAAGGTGATGGATTCCAGTGGCCGACGAGAGGCAGCCGTTGGCGGCAGTGCATGTACGGCAGGGGATGGCGAAGGCAACTAGGAAGGACTTTGGAAGAAGAAGAAGAAGAAGAGGATTTTTGGTCTGGGCTAGGGTTTTAGTGGTAGACTAGAAAGAGTGGGCTTGGGTTGCGGGTTGTATGTGTTTGTGGGCTTCTAATTGTTGGTTGTGTGTGTTATAGTGGGCTTGTAATTGTAGGCTGTGTGTGGGAGTCTGGGAGGGGATGAATTTCGGTTTGTTTGGTCGGAATTCGGAATATCTGGTTCGGTCGAGCGACCCTGGTTTCCGAAGTATAGAGTTTTGCCTTCCGAATTTCGAACCAAGTTACAATAGTTCGATTTCAGTTCGATTTCATTCGGTTTCGGTTCGGTTCGGGTTTACTGAACCGGATGCCCACCCCTACTCATAGTTAGAGCCATAGAGATCAATTCGTTAATAAACGAATTGAGTTACTAATAATTCTGAGTTAAACTTAGGGTTATAGGTATAATATACTCTTCTATTATGACGTTTTATCAAACATGCCCTTCTACTATTTGTTACATCAAACATGCCCTTGTATTTTGACAAAATTATCAAACATGCCATTCTGCTAAAATTTCCATAGAAAAAATCGCCAATCATGGTTGAACCTAGATTTAGACGACCCGACATCGATAAATGGGAGGAAAAATATCAGTTTTGTCCCCCGTTTTATTTCTCTGGAGCTCTTCAAAGTGAAATTATTAGGAATATTTTAGACATTTGTGTCGCCCAAACCAAAGTTCGGTGTTGGTTAACGGTTTTTGGATGAAAATTTTAACAAAAGTGCATGTTTGATAATTTTTACAAAGTACAGAGGCATGTTTGATGTAAAAAATAGTAAAGGGGCATGTTTGAGTTTTAGTTTGAGTTTAGCTTGTTAACTAATACATTAGATTGTGTTTGTCTCGAACTTGAATTATCAATAAAATCAAGTTACGCGAGCCTAGCTCATTTATTCTAAATAATTGAACGGTTAAATTAAATGCTAAAAGAGTTTATAAAATTAAGTATCCTAATATTGGTATGTCATGGATGATAGTTAATCTTTCATCATATCATGTCTATAGACTCTACAATTGCAGTTCCAGGATGTAATGATCTTTTATACATATCAATATGATTATCTTTTGTAAAAAAAAAAAAAAAGTCTATAGATTCTATATAGTTAGTTGATATTATATTATTTAGCTCATAAATAATTTAATTTTTTTATGAATATTAAGCGTAAATTTTTACTTATCCATATCATGTTCTTTTATAATAATATATCTAAATCGGTACTTTTAAATTATAAACAATACATATTTGCTCAAATACTCAAAGTCTTAAATATCATATGAGGAGAGATAAGTAATTTAACAAACATATAAATTATCAACCAACCAACTCATACTATATAGATGGATTCGATCATAAGCTGGTAGTCGAGTTGGCTCGCTAGTCACAAACTCACAATGTCGAAACAAGCAAACTCAAGAGTTTAACTCAACAAACCATCAAATCGAACTGACTTGCAAGTTTCGCAAACAGAACACGATTGAACTCAAACTCAAACTCAAATCCTTAGTCCTTAATAAACAAGTCAAATTTCTAACAAAATGTTTCCAGACTGAATGTCAAGTCCAGCAGCTCATAAACACCACTTATTTACTACCATAATCTCAGGCCTCAGCATGACAGAATCGTTCTGCGTGTTTTTCTTTCCAAACAAATGGGCTTATGGAGCCATCCCACCGTTGCTCTACGAAGGTGTTTTTGGTTAGTTAAACTTAAACGCAATCAACCGGCTGCTTTGCACAGGTCAATTTATTGATCAATGCAAAAGTTAGGTAGCTCAAACACCAGAATGACGGTAATTCTTTGGGATGGTCCCCTAATTTTCTGGACCATGAATCCACGGCAGTGGAATTTAGTTCGTTAGTGAGGTCAGAAGCTAAGACCATAAATGGTGCAGGGAAAACCGATTGAGCATATATCCTGGTGGAGCTTCCTGGAAGTAGAAACCAGCCTCATACATGATTACATATCGCTGAAAACTAATAATAGCAAGTCCCTGAAGCTAGAAAAATCAAATTACCATTTTTAATACAGACAACGATCTTCTTTTGGTTGTTCTGGAAAACAAACACATTCTTATTCTTGGAAAACTAATGAAAGCGTATAACGAAACAATTTACCACTACTGCTACTACTATTCATCTCAAGCCACAGAACCCGCAAAATTCAGACAGAGCCCTTGAATCCGACTGAAAACGGGCACAGAAGCCGACTCAAGACTCATTTGTCTCGCTCTGTGGAAGTCAAGAGTTAAAAAATCTAGTCACTTGCTTTCTCCAAGCTTGCCATATATGTCAAATAGATCGTCCACACGTATGCAAACGAGCTGTTCACCAATGGCTGCATCCCAATCACACCACAACAGTTACATTAGAAGTAAGAACACAGAACTGCAGAGGAGATATGGATGGGGAAAGGCAATAAATTGTACCTGTAAATGCACTGGGATGACTTTGAAGGTCAAGAAATCACACATGGGCCAGAATATGAGACCACCCAACAAAGTTGGCAGCAGGTCTCGTTTCAATCGAGCAATGATCTCGTCGCCATTTTCACCTGGTGATAAGTTTGCAACAAGCCTATCAACCGAAACTGGAAGGTGCAATCCATGTTGGGAGGTGAACATAAGCAAGAAGAGGAAGCATATTCTACCTTGTAGAGCAGCGTTGTAGGAAAAGAAAAGGGAAGCATTGACAGGTCCGAATCCGGCCTGGCCCAGGAAGATTTTCTTCAAGGTAGACATCACATCACGATTAGGCAGGATCCTTGACATGTAATTGAACCAGAGATGCTGTGCTGGGCCCAAGAACATGAACCCGTACCCTGCCATGCGCAATGTTCTGACATAATCTAAGGTTCCTGAAAATGACGACGCAATCATCTGAAACCAAAAGGGTTTCACTATTTAGCCAGGAATAGAAAAACCCAGACCCCAACTGTACTGTAAACTAAATCCAAGGGTTCAACGTGCTGGTGGAAATGTGAAGGAAACGATACTCAGTCACAAAAACGCTAAAGGGGGGAAAATCCATGAAAGCTAGGGATTTAAATTACCTGGGCGGTGGCATCGGCGGCGCCGTAAATTAGCGACGTCGTGATGGCTTTAGTGAGCATCGGGCGGGATTCGAGCCTATCCAGGTACCAACCGATGAACCCAGTTCGGGATTTCGAGGCCGACGAAGGAGTCGACGACGACGTCGAGAACGGACGGGAAGAAGAGTGAGACGGCGGAGCGACTTTCTTCGCCGGAGAGAAATGGGGGAGCCTCGAATCAGTCCCCTTGGTCCTGTAAAACTGCTGCTGAGCGCCACCGCCGGCTCCTCCGCCGGCGCAATTGGAGAATCGCCACGATTGATTGCCCAAGCAAGCTTCCTTCACCGAGAAGTCGCCGTGGAGGAGGCGTTTCCGGAGAGCCCTCACGGCTGCGCCGCTCATCTTTTCTTCACGGTTGGACTGAGAATCCGCAGAGCCGCTCTCGCCGTTGAGATCTAGTTAAAGTTTGAATAATTTGGAAATCTCCCAATTCTCGGTTTCTGTTTGGACTCTGATTTAAAGAAAACGAAATTTTCGGAGGTGGCGCGCAGTGCTGTCCAGTGGAACTATGCAACGTGTAACTCCCTCCTGAAAATCGTGAAAAGCAAAATAATTATAAAAAAGATTTTCCGGATTTTTTGACTGGTTCTGGGCTTTGACTCGATGAGAACTGTGAAGGTCGGCAAGAGCACGCTCATTTGTAAATCCAACATGGGCCTTTAATTGGGCTTGCAACTGGCCCTTATTATGTGAGAGTTTAAAGCAGGGATGCTAGGCTTTGATTATTCTGGCCCATCACTGGCCTCTATAAATATAGTGATCAAAACAGAGGTTCTGATTTCTGAATACACGAAATTGGAAGCCTTCTTCGTCGCGTTCTTTGACAGAACTGAAATTCAGTCACTGGATTCCTCTGCGTTTGGCGGAAATTGTTGTTATTCTCTCCAGATTTTCGCCGGCGCCTTCAATTTTTTCCCCGGAGACTGAGCTTAGAGCCAGTGTTGGTTCGTGAGCATAATATTAGAGGCCTTTCATGGACCCTTCAATAATGAAGCTCCTCGAGGAAGACGAGGCAAGGGTTCTGCTTCCCGTTTGTCATCTGTTTGGTTGTGGGGGTTTGTGAGGGTCAATTTGATTTTCAACGAAGTTCTGAGGTTTTCTTGGTGGTTTATTCGCAGGACGAGACGATGCATTCGGGTGCCGACGTAGAGGCTTTCCAGGCAGCTCTCAATCGGGACATTGAAGGTCACGCTTCCAATTCTCAGAACGAAGCTCATAACACGGGTAATTACTAGTTGGAAATCATAGTTTGATAACTTATTCTGGAGCTGAGGTTTTGGATTCTTGAGCTGTTGAATGTTGAGATATATTGGGATAGTTTTCTCGGGTGGATTGAAGGGTTTTGCTTACTAGTTTTCTGTTGGCTGCATTCAGAGTTTTTGAATCATTGTTGCTAGTTTTGATGGAATTTTGGTTGAGGATTTGGGGAAAGTGAGTGGGGTGGGATAGTAAGTGGCCTAGCAATGGCCTTCTCTGTCCAGTCTAGCTTCAGTTTAGCTCTTTATGATGCCTGGACTGAAAATGTGGCAGTTCTTCCAAGCGAAAGCGACCAAGGTTCCTCTCAGAAATCTCAAAGTTGGCCATCAATGCGACAAGATCAAGTTCCGTCTGGCTCAAGCAACCAGGGGCCACAAAATGTATCACTACAACAACAGTTATCAGATCAACAGCAACAACAACAACAACCACAGCAATCACCTATGAAGATAGATCAACAGTCATCTGTAGTCGAGAAACAGCAACAGCTTAATGATGTGCCCCGGGCACAAAATCCCCTTGCTTTTCATAAGAACCAACCCCCAGATGAGCATCAACAGGTGAAGGTGGAACATGTGCCCGTCCAACCTCCCCAGACAAGTGGGGCGCCGATTTCTGATAAAAATCCCGCTCCAGCTGCTGAGCCGGGCAGATTACAGAACCGCACTGGTGAATCCCAATTCGTAAGGATGCCCCCACAGATCACAGCCACGGAACAGTCTGTTAACTCAAGGTATCAAGGTAAGCACATCCCATTTGTGCTGTTGCTGCCTGCTTTAAAACCCCATCTTGATAAAGACAGGGAGATGCAGCTTCAGACTATATTCAATAAACTAAAGGTGGGTATCAGTCTTGAATGTCTTTTCTCGCTCTTTGTATCTTGTACTTTTCTTTTAAGCTTTCTGCCACCTTTTTTCTGTTAGAAAAATGAAATCCCGAAAGATCAGTTCGTCAGGCTTATGAGGAATATTGTTGGGGATCAAGTGATAAAGTTGGCACTAACCCAGTGGCAACAGCAGGTATGAAAAATATAATGACATTCAGGACATGTCTCGTCGGAATTCAGATAACGCCACTTTTCTCCCCCTGAATTGCAGCATGGAACCAACCAATCCCAGTCACAGGCCCAAGCTTTAGCCCGTCAACCAAATGCTAGGATGCCTGTCAGTCCCTGTTCTTCTCAACTTAGTAGTTCCAATCCATCTGCACTTCATCAAAAGGGATCAAGTTCTTCCACCAACCCAACTTACAGTGTTCATTCATCAGTCAAACTGCAGTCTGATCATTCAACTCGTGCTCTTGCTGGAACCGGTACTCCAAATTCCCGACAGGTGGATTCCCGTGCAGTCAACTTCAGTCAAATGCCTTCGTCCAATGTCAATCCAGATAGAGATGGCACTTCAATTTCAACACAAGGGCACAATAAGCAGCAGCAACAACAACAACATCTACACTTCCCGCAGACATCTTTCCCTGTGAATGGGGGAGCTGGAAGCAATTATCCCACATATTCCGCTTCAGGAGGAACTTCTTTGAAGCCACAGCCTTCAGAGCAACAAACGAGGCAGATTCCGCATCATCAAAGTGCAGGTAACTCTCAAGTGGGAACACACACCCAGGCAATGAGCACCCTCAACGTGCCAAAATTGGAGAGGCAAAGTCCGGCTGTTGAGTCCAATGGAGTGCAGCGTGGTCCTATATCCCCTTATCCAAGCAAGCCAACATTGCAGCAAAATTCAGTCCCTTGCCAGACATCAACGAATAAAGACCAAAATCCCACCCCTTTTTCACCAATGAATTCTGTGAAACCGGAAATAGTTGAGCAGGCTGGTGAGCAACCACAGAAGTCCCAGTTCAGTAACAATAAGGGGTCCTCTGGTGGTGCTGAACAAAGAAACACAACTATGAAAAATTCCAAGAATGCCTCAGACAAGCAGCTCTCAAGTGTTCGGTCCTCGTCAGCCTCTGACGCAGTGCCACCAAATGCAGTGTCCCGATCTGTCACAACCCAGACTGACCACAGTAACCAGGTAGTGTTTCCATCTATACAAGATTTCCTCAAGAAGGAACAAGTGACTCTTTCCTTGAGATTCTGAGGCCAGTAAATGCTCGGATTATACTTATACTGAGGAATGTGAGAATGACATTCTGCCTTGTATATTCATTAACAGGGTCTCTCCAGGATTCCTGCCGTAACTTCACCTGCTACTATGAATTCAAGAACACCTCCAAAGAAACCCTCCGTCGGGCAGAAAAAGCCACTTGAAGCAGTTGGATCTTCCCCGGCTCCTGCAAGGTAAATATTCAAGTTTGTGATGAGGCATCATAATCGTTCCACCAAAGCTTCCTATTCCTAATTGGATTCTAATCCTATTTTCGGCTTTTGTTTGTTTAACTCTGGAATTTTATTTAATTCAAAGGTTTGTCTCTTTCCTATTTTGTTGAGATTTTAGTTATCCCTATGAAAAGGAATTTCCCCCCGCAAGAAATACGGCTCGTTTCCGATACTTTATTCTCAGTATTGAAATATTATGGAGGGGAGTTTCTCTAGAGTTCTTGGAATACGAAACTTGCGTTCTTGAGGCCAAACAGCATTGGTCCTTTACTGCGTTTCTCCCTGCGTCAGTTTGCTACTACCGTTTATGTTGTAGTTTGTATTTGCAGCACACATTCATGTATTCTTCAATCCTAAAACGTTTTATGGATCAGTGTACCCAAAATAGTGGCTTACTTGGTTGAGTAACCACCTCTCTGTAATTTCTTATACAGTAAGAAGCAGAAGGTTTCTGGGGCTCTTTCAGATAAAAGCATTGACCAACTGAATGATGTCACTGCTGTCAGTGGAGTTAATATTCAGGTAAACATATTCCTCGATCATTAAGCTTGACCAATGAGTAACGAGTAATATCAGATTACTAAAGAACCTGAACCCCCCACTCTGAGAGAAGGGGAAAGAACTGATCTTGCAATGTTCCTTGCATATTTGTTTACAGGAAGAGGAAGAACAGTTGTTTTCCACAAACAAGGAGGACAGTCGAGTCTCCGAAGCATCCAGAAGAGTTGTACAAGAAGAAGAGGAGAGGCTGCTTTTGCAGAAAACTCCTCTTCAGAAAAAAGTGGCGGAGATCAGTTAAAACTTCTTTTCATTAACTTGTACTTTGTTTATGGAGATAAATAGTGTCAATTACGCAATGTTGATTTAATTTTACTTTGCATGTCCATGCAGTGACCAAGTGTGGTATGAAGAATGCTAGCAATGATGTAGAGAAATGCTTGTCCTTGGTGAGAAGCGAAATATTTTATCCTGTCTTCACTTTAAAAATATTAGACACCGCCTAACAGAGGTTTTTCTAGAGCGTGGAGGAGAGAATGCGGAGTTTGATAAATAACATGATCAGAATGTCGAAACAGGTCAGTTTCTCGTAATCTTTGCTAATTTATACTTGTTCTCCCATTCCGATGTTTGTTATTATTGCTTCGAAATTTCATTGGTGTTGTGATTTTGCTGCACTTTTTCTCATTCGGATTGCATCCCTGCAGAGGATTGATTTAGAGAAGTCAAGTCACAGAACTGTGGTTACCTCTGATGTTCGGCAACAACTCGTGGCAATGAACCAGAAAGCTAAGGATGAATGGGATAGAAAGCTGGCTGAAGCAGAAAAGCTCCGGCGAGTAAATGAAGTAGGTCTTCCTCCATTTCTTGTGTTGTGGTATTCTCAAACCGGTTCTACTGCAACTTAGGGTGTGTGCTTGTTTGGTCTAAAAACAGTAAGGAACTTAAAGAAAATTTGAGTTAAAAGCTCAATGAAGCACAATTCTTAACTCTAATATTTTAGAACTACTTTTCATCATTAGTCTCACAAATCATTGCAAATAATAGCCTCCTCAATCAAAGAAATTCTATTTCTGACTTTTTCCCTTCGAGATAGCTGCAATGTATTCTCAGAGCTATACCCCTTTGAGTTACGCACACAATGTTGCATTTTCTTGCTTGATATGTGGGTGCAGCCTGACGCTGATGATGGAGCCGAAGGTGACAAGGAAAAGGAAGATGGGAGAGGAAAAGCACCCAAGGTAATTCAGGACCTTTTCACCAATCTTTCAAAGTTTCATTCAGTAAACTCTGAAATATACAACTGAAACACAGTATTCCAATATTTACTGAAAATGCACAGGTGAGCAAAGAGGAGGATGACAAATTGAGAACGACAGCTGCAAATATGGCAGCCAGGGCTGCTGTTGGGGGAGACGACTTGATGTCGAAGTGGCAGCTCATGTCGCAAGCCCGGCAGAAACGAGAAGGTGGTCAAGATGGGAGCCGCAAGGCCCAGTCATTCTCTGGAAGGAATGGCAGTCAAGATGGAACGACAAAGCGCTTTGGTTCAGGATCCTGTATGTTTGAGGAAAAAATGGTTTTTATTGCATGCCATAATGTTGAATCCATGTGACTAACCCATTTTTTGTGCTTCACTTATGTCTGTTCTTATTTTAACCCTTTTCAATCTGTTTCAGTTGGTGGTACGAAATTCGGGAGGAGCCAGGTTGCCGGATCACAGCTCAGGGAGGTCCGGAGTTTAACCATCAAGGACGTGATTGCAGTGATGGAACGAGAGGCCCAGCTGTCGAAGTCGGCTCTGATCTATAAGCTGTACGAGAGAATCCGGTCCGATCCGCCACCTGGATGATAGGTTCTGCTGCAGATCCGTTCCTGCCGCCATGGATTCAGTCGGGGGTTAATTTGGTTGCAGAATGCAGTTAGTTGCTTGTACTTAAAAAGAGTAGTTGTTTTGTTTGCCGTTCGCCCTTGAACACACTGCTCTACTGAAGCTAGTTTTAGATGGTGAACTCCCGGTAAGACTAGAGTACCAAGAGTCTGCTCCAATGCGTTTTCTGGTTTGCTTAGAACCGGATCTTACGTTAAATACAGCTCTTTTTTTCTTTCTATCCACTTAAAATTCAATTTAAATTATACCTCAATTTCAGAACAGGACCTCCACGATTCATTGGACGATCTCGTCATATACTTATCCTTCTTTCATACTTCAGTACCAAGAGTCTGCTCCAATAGGTAGTCCCTCAAGCTTAGCCCGCCCTTATTCATCTATACTAGCTGCCACGCACGACCCCATAGGAACGATTCCAGCCCCCCTCTCCAGATAAGAAGCAAAACGCGCCATCACCTACAGCCCTTTCCTCTGCCGGAGACTTCCATGAAATGAAAACGGGCGGCATTGTCGTATCATCGACATTTGTTGCCCTGGTTTATATCCCGGGGTACTCCTATGGCCGATCTGTCACCCAACCTCCTTAAAAACCGTTAAGGCTTGGCCCCGTGCACCAATTGCGGTACAATAAAGTTGTAATTCACTAGTTATTCCCGAAGCTCTCCAAATCTGGAAAAAACCCGAGGTTATTTGTATTCCTCGGAAACCTCCACCCACATCACCATTTAATATTCCTTGACCCACTATTGGCCAAACCACTTGGGCGCTAGGTCAAATGTGAGTAGGATCACTTAGCCATGCTTCATAATTAGAAAAACGAGCACCGTGAAAATACATGCCACTCAGCCAAAGAAAGATGATGGAGAGTTGGCCGAAATGAGCACTAAATACTTTTCGAGAAATCTCCTCCAAATCACTGGTATGGCTATCGAAATCGTGAGCATCAGCATGTAGGTTCCAGATCCAAGTAGTAGTATCAGGTCCTTTAGCTATTGTTCTTGAGAAATGACCAGGTCTGGCCCATTCCTCTCCCCTCGCCCTAGATTTGAATAAGGGCTTCTTTGATCGGGGAATGCACGCACTTCTTTTGAGGAATGCAATATACTCGACCGTTTTCTGGTTTGCTTAGAACCGGATCTTACGTTAAATACAGCTCTTTTTTTTTTCTTTCTATCCACTTAAAATTCAATTTAAATTATACCTCAATTTCAGAACAGGACCTCCACGATTCATTGGACGGTTTCGTCATATACTTATCCTTCTTTCATACTTCATGGGTAGAGAAATTGATCACACATGTATGTAATACATAAGCTAAGCTGCTTCTCTCTATTTCTTCGTGTCTTTGGACTTGCAGGTTTATTGTAGCTATTCCACCATTATTACTTGGTGGAGAGATGGGGGAAACAAGTGAAGACATCAGATTTAGGATGCTTGGCCTCGGCGTGCTCCCGACACTTGGCCTCCGACGTCGTGCATATGAACGTCTGCATGCACACTTTGCACTGTATATTCCCCCGCCGGCCACCGCCACCGCCACAGACGCCGCCACGGTAGAAACAGAGAAGCAAAACGTATTAATGACAGCAAAAAAGAGAAAGAGGTATACTACAATATAACAGTAACAGAGCCTAGGTAGCTGGATGGTCATGGCCTTCTTGTTGGACTGAAGCTGGCTTCCTTCACCCCACATATACAGAGAGACGCATGTCAATGAATTTGGCTAAAAACTGAACTAGCTAGCTAGTTAATGAAGCAAGAGTTGTTTGCAACGTACCCTTATTGGCGGCCTTTTGGAGCTTCTCCATGTTTCTCTCCCGAGCTGTTCTGGATTTCTGCCCATTCCCTCCTCCCATTATTTCCTCCTTTGATGAAAGATGAACGATGATCTTCTTCTCCTTTGGTTGCTTGATATAGAGGCCAGGCAGGGGAAGACGCGGTTTCCGTATTTATATAGACAAGAAAATGGAGGGAGAGGCACTAAGGAAAAGGGCAAAAGGAGGAAAAAGATGCAAAACTAAGTGGAAGCCAGTTGAGCTGGGATGGGCTACTGCTTGACTATTACTGTCATGTGTCAAGGAGCAAAGGCCAACCAACTCACCAGCTAGCCCAACCGACCATTTATTATGACTCGACGACTAATAATTCTTGTACGCGTTGACTCTGCGTTGGAGGTGGTATAAAAAAAGTTAGCGTGTATAATATTTTATGTCGGAATTGTAGTTTAATTGTGATTCAACTGTTTTGTACTTCTAAAAATTATCTACTGGTTTAAACTCCGATGAAAAGTTTTTCCAATCGTACCACCGATACAATAAGATTTCACAAATACAGATTTTAACCCATACCCATTGCCGACATGTGGATGAAAGGGGATGTATACGACAGACCCACCTCAATACTTGAGTCCACTCCACTCTTTTTATGGCTGAAGTGTCTAAAACAAGCTAGCTGGGATGACAACTAACAACTCTATGCATGTTTGTAACACGTTTACATGTATTCCAACCAAATGATAGTGTCGTTGATTGTGGACGTTGATTCCCTCTGTGATGACGTTAATCTCCTATGTCAGAATTTTGAAATAACACCATTATAATTCTATCTAAACGAACATTTGATGTGAATTGTGAAATCTCGTCTAGCGTCTACGGCCTGCTTGTACTGACCAAACATGTATCTGAATATAAGCATCAAGATTGTATATGAATATAAACAACGAATTAAGATATGTGGCTCCACCCATTTAGCGCATATATATGGAACGGAACATTATCCTAACATTAGCACCATGCTAATCACGAGTTGTAGTTGGTAACGTCGGAGTTGTAGTCCTACAACTGAAAAAAAAAAACCAACTAAAACTGCAAAAAACAATTAGTACGAATGTGATTGTACCCACTAAAACTCATGGTGAGCAGGAGTTAACCAAACTTAGCAAGCTAAACCATTGAATATGGTCAAATATTTGTCAGCTGATTTAACTCCTAGCCCAAAGAGGAAGAAAGAATCCAACATCCAACGCCAACTCAGAAGTGATTAGATGCCGATGCAATCTTGACCTATCTCTAATCTTAATCTATAATAATAAATATAATTGGGTACGATATCCCATTACGGGGGACAGGTTAGCGTGACAACCCCTAAGGGGTTGTCAATCTAGCTTCCCCTCTCGTTGCCGTCCGTTCACCTATTCCTCCATCTAACGATTGAAGTTGGGCAAGGGCAAAAAGGAGAGCTACCACACTGGATTGTGCTCCCCTAGTTCGCTGACGTCAGCGGTTTTTTGAGAAGGCAAAGAAATCGGTGTGTGTGTGTGGGGGGGGGGGGGGGGGGGGGGGGGAGTAATCAACCATCCTCCCCGCCGAACCTTTCGTCTCGCCCACATAAACCCTTTTTCTCCGTCTCCTCCCACAGAAAATCTTTCTCACCGTCTTCTCCCAAATACTTCTGTATCCACTTTCTCAGATCGTTTTTGGCGGCGAGCCTTGGTAGTGGTTCATTGCGAAGACTTTGTTGTTCAGGGTACAACTAAGACTTTTGCATGGATCGGTCACCATTGATGCTTGCTTTGTCGGACTGATTCGTCGGCGCTGCTGCTCCTCCCCACTTCATCTTTTGCTACAAATATCTGGTTTGCTAACTTAGGTTTTTATCTCCTCTTGTTAAGTGCGTAGGCGAACCACCTACTTCCGCTGTCGTTCCTTTCTGCGCCCGTGAAGACTCTTCAATCGGAGGTGAGGTTTATTTACGTTACTGTTTTTTGTTTTTGGGTTGCAACGTTGGAATTAGCCACATGCAGGCCTGTCTTTATTGTTTGTCATGTTTGTTTGGTGTTGTTATGATCCACTGGTATTCGTAAGAATCGTACCATTGCTAGTGGTAGTTGTGGTACTGGTACCCATCGCTCAGTGCTAGTTTAATGTAAACGTATAACTTGTTCTAACAGTAGCATTCTACTTGTTCTAACAGTGCTAGTTTAATATGGATTGTACCAGTAACATTCTACATTGCTCATAGTAATTGTAGTGATATCATTCTACTTGTTCTGTTGCAGGGATGGCCAGAACAAAGATCTCAGCTATATCATCTACGAAAACACAACAACCTGCTGGTTATGTTTCTCGGCAGGTAGCAGTCCGCTTGAGGGACTCTAGTGATTCTGGTGCTGGGCCTAGTAACAAACGGCCACGCGATGAGGTAACAAAGAGTCACAGTAAGAAGAAGAAGCAATGGACTGTACAGTCAAATCAAATCACCTTGGAGAAGAAGTGCAATCCGACTTCAATCATCGAGATTGTGGAGGCGGGTATTTCAACGGAGAGACAGGCGCTTATCAAGAAGCTTGGACTAAGTTGTGTGCTCAATTTGAAGATGAAACAGTTTGACAATACGTTGCCGTGTTGGATTACTAGGCTATTAGATGAGGAGCAGGATGTGGGGGGGGGGGGGGGGGGCAGCTTACCTTTACTGTGGACGATGTCCAGCTGATCTATGGTCTTCCCCGTGGTCCAAAGATGGTGCCGGAAATTGATTCACACCATGAGAAGGAGCTACGGGACACACTACCGGGCATGGATGAGGAACCTGTCAGTTGGTACAAGCTGTGGAATTTGAGGAAAAAGCTTGTACAGTGACGGATGACAAACTATAAATCCGTATATTTCCTGATGACGTGCTTCGATTACCTATTTAACCCCAGCACTGCCAACGTGGGGCAAGCGTCGATACTCAAGTTTCTGAAGGACGATGAGCTCGCTGAGTTGGTCGAGTATGATTGGTGCTATTACTTACGGGACTGCGTGAGGAGAGCCTTCATTGTTAACCGGAGGAGGAGCTATACCAATGGCAATCTGCATGTCCTGTTGGTGTGGTTCCTTGATAGGACGACAGACAGCTTGCAGCTTACCATAGATGTCCCGTCTTGCAAGTTATGGGACACCTCGGCCTGTAGAAAACGTAGTCGAGAATTGCTTGGAAAGTATGGTATGTTTGGTGTTGTCCCATACATCCGGCTTGATCCTTCGCCCCTCCAGGTACGGCCGAAAGCAACACATGTCAAGAAGGAAAAGGCGGCACATAATACAACAAAGGGAAAAGGAATAGCTTCCTCTAGCACTACTCCTCCCAGCTCCGCATATGCTATGAGAGTTCTTGACATTACTCAAATGGGGCTGCTAGAGGTAATCCTTTATCAACACCACCTCTTTCTTTGATATTTAAATATGCAATTTTTAGTACTAACGGAAACTATAACACTAGAAGCTGATACAATACAATGCACATGTGAAGCGAATAACCATCAAACATGCCTTTGTATTGTATCAGCTTCTAGTCTTATAGCTTCAATTAGTACTAAAAATTGCATATTTAAATAGCAAAGAAAGAGGTGGTGTTTATAAAGGATTACCTCTAGCAGCCCCATTTGAGCAATGTCAAGAACTCCCATAACATATGCGGAGCTGGGAGGAGCAGTGCTAGAGGAATCTATTCCTTTGCCCTTTGTTGTATTATGTGTTGCCTTTTCCTTCTTGACATGAGTTGCTTTCGACCGTTCTTGGAGGGGCGAAGGATCAAGCCGGATGTATGGGACAACAACAAACATACCATACTTGCCAAGCAATTCTCGACTACGTTTTCTACAGGCCGAGGTGTCCCATAACTTGCAAGGCGGGACATCTATGGTAAGCTGCAAGCTGTCTGTCGTCCTATCAAGGAACCACACCAACAGGACATGCAGATTGCCATTGGTATAGCTCCTCCTCCGGTTAACAATGAAGGCTCTCCTCACGTAGTCCCACAAGTAATAGCACCAATCATACTCGACAAACTCAGCGAGCTCATCGTCCTTCAGAAACTTGAGTATCGACGCTTGCCCCACGTTGGCTGTGCTGGGGTTAAATAGGTAATTGAAGCACGTCATCAGGAAATATACGGATTTATAGCTTGTCATCCGTCATTGTACAAGCTTTTTCCTCAAATTCCACAGCTTGTACCAACTGACAGGTTCCTCATCCATGCCCGGTAGTGTGTCTCGTAGCTTCTTCTCATGGTGTGAATCAATTTTCGGCACCATCTTTGGACCACAGGGAAGACCATAGATCAGCTGGACATCGTCCACAGTAAAGGTAAGCTGCCCCCCATCCAGCATAGCTATCGACATTGTCTCCTCATCTAATAGCCTAATAATCCAACACAGCAACGTACTGTCAAACTGTTTCATCTTCAAATTGAGCACACAACTTAGTCCAAGCTTCTTTATAAGCGCTTGTCTCTCAGTTGAAATACCCGCCTCCACAATCTCGATGATTGAAGTCGGACTGCACTTCTTCTCCAAGGTGATTTGATTTGACTGTACAGTCCGTTGCTTATTCTTCTTGCTGTGACTCTTTGTTACCTCATCGCGTGGACGTTTGTTACTAGGCCCAGCACCAGAATCACTAGAGTCCCTCAAGCGGACTGCTACCTGCCGAGAAACATAACCAGCAGGTTGTTGTGTTTTCGTAGATGATATAGCTGAGATCTTTGTTCTGGCCATCCATGCAACAGAACAAGTAGAATGATATCACTACAATTACTATTAGCAATGTAGAATGTTAATGGTACAGTCCATATTAAACTAGCACTGTTAGAACAAGTAGAATGCTACTGTTAGAACAAGTTATACGTTTACATTAAACTAGCACTGAGCGATGGGTACCAGTACCACAACTACCACTAGCAATGGGACGATTCTTACGAATACCAGTGGATCATAACAACACCAAACAAACATGACAAACAATAAAGACAGGCCTACATGTGGCTAATTCCAACGTTGCAACCCAAAAACAAAAAACAGTAACGTAAATAAACCTCACCTCCGATTGTCTTCACGGGCGCAAAAAGGAACGATGGCGGAAGTAGGTGGTTTGCCTACGCACTTAACAAGAGGAGATAAAAACCTAAGTTAGCAAACCATATATTTATAGCAAAAGATGAAGTGGGGAGGAGCAGCAGCGCCGACGAATCAGTCCGACAAAGCAAGCATCAATGGTGACCGATCCATGAAAAAGTTGTGGTTGTACCTGAATCAACTCTACCCTGAACAACAAAGTCTTCGCAATGAACCACTACCAAGGCTCGCCGCCAAAAACGATCGGAGAAAGTGGATACAGAAGTATTTGGGAGAAGATGGTGAGAAAGATTTTCTGTGGGAGGAGACGGAGAAAAAGGGTTTCTGTGGGCGAGACGAAAGGTTCGGCGGGGAGGATGGCTGATTACTCCCCCCACCGATTTCTTTGCCTTTTCAAAAAACCGCTGACGTCAGCGAACTAGGGGAGCACAATTCACTGTGGTAGCTCTCCTTTTTGCCCCTACCCAATTTCAATCGTTGGATGGAGGAATAGGTGAACGGACGACAACGAGAGGGGAAGCGAGATTGAAAACCTCCTTAGAGGTTGTCACGCTAACCTGTCCCTCACATATATATAACTTACTCCTTAATGGTTTCTGTACTGCTCAGTTTGCTATGGATAATGACATATTAAAACTTCCCCTTAATTGTTTCATAGCTCTGTAACCGAAAACAATGACGTTTAATTGATCCATAGCTCTGTAACCGAAAATCATAAATTAACCCCACTTATCATCAATGGGGAAAAATCAATGTAAGCTAACAATTATCCTAACAATACTATATGGAGGTTCCCTCCAAAATCCCATCAGCTCCAATTTTGTTGCCTCCTAAGCATAGCACGGAGGAATGCTTAGGTAATTTCCACCGCTGAGAGTTTTGTGCGGCAGGAGGTTTCAGCTCCATAAATGGGCTAGGCCCAATGACATGGAGTTTTGTGCAGCAAGAGATGAGATTTCAGTTTCATTAATGGGCCAGCTAAGTTAGTAAATTATATAGCATCGTTAGTAAATTATGATACGGTTAAGTTACGTATAAAATATGTATAGATATGTATATGATGATTAAAGTAATGGTACGTTTAATAATACGTCAATAATAATAAAATTCGCACAGTCATATATATGTATATTAAACGGAGTATTTACTAACTATGGTATATACCCATCAATTGCCCTATTAAAAATGCAATTTAATAGGCTCCAAAAACAACACCGCTCGGCCCATTTTATAAAAGGACGATGAAGCATTCTATAAATATTTTAATCCTGTATATCCTAACATTAATATAAAGAGGTTCTCCATAAAAAATGGTTAATTCTAAATTACTAAAGTAAATTTAGTAAGGACATATTTGTCTTATAATTAATAAAAAATCCAACAGAACACATTGTTAATTACACGAATGAAAAATAATATTTCTCTGTAAATTTTTGAAAACTAATTATCATATTATTAGTTTTACTTTGGATGTAAAGAGGTTCTCCATAAAAAGATAGTTAATTCTAAATTTTTAGCCTTTGAGTAAATTTAGGAAGGGCATTGTCTTTTAATTAATAAAAAACCCAAAGAACACATTGTTAATTATACTAATGAAAAAGAATATTTTGTTGGAAATTTTTGAAAACTAACTAATTCTTAATAACTTAACTAAAAATTGAAATACTTTTCAATTATAACTTTGGTGAAAATGTAATTGTGAGCACGTTTATGAATATAATTATCAATGAAATTGATAATGGTGAGCTGGTTTATACATATAATTATCAATGATTATTTAATTAATTACTATTTTATTCCAAAATCCTTATTTTAAGTATTGGTTTTCTCTTAGAGTGTTGAAATGTAGATCACAATCTACATCTAGAGACTAGAGGTTGAAAGATTAAAACCATTAGCTAGATAATTTCTTTATGGAGTTCTTTTCCAGGGAAATGATAAAAAAAGTATGAGATCATACCAGCTTGTATTTAGGTTTGTGATATATAGTTTTCTTTTACCATTGTGACAAACGACATCTCCATTTTCTTTCTTTTTCATAATTTTGTTTGGTTTTGATCAAAACATTAGCGAAAATATTATATTAGTGTGATGAAAATTCTTATCAAAACTTCCTTTGACACTAACATATTATTTTGTTATGTTATAAATGCTTCAGTATTATTTTGAGATTTAAGTTAATTCATATTATTATTGAGCACTATATTTATTGATTCTACGCCTCAAAAATATATTAACCTTGGAGAATCATGTTATTGACAGAATAATGTTCCAGTATGATCTTCAAATAGTAAAGTAAAAGGGACAAAACTTTGGTGCATAACCTACTTTAGTTACAGATGGCACAAATATAAAAAGCTATAGTTAAGGGATTTTTAATGCCTCGCAAATTTAGCGAATAACATCTCATTGTTTCAAATCTGATTTTAAATTGGTTAGAAAAACTATGTTAGTTGAAACTTGTCAAAGAAAAGTTAAAAAGACTATGATGAGTAATTTTATAAGAATTATACAACAACATCTAAGACAATAGTAGTTAGGTAATAATCCACCTCTACGCTTCTATTGTTTTTAACTTCAAGTTCATTCATTAGAGAGAAAACAACGAACCTACTAAACCCTAAAGTTTTTGATAACTAGAGCATTAGATTCATGCATGTTTGTTTCTATATGATTCATCTCACTTTGGAAGAATAGCTTCCACCCTTATGAATCTTGGTGAGGCTCTTGGGACGACAACTACTTCTGCAACTCAGCTTCTCTCTATGGGAATTAATAGGACTTTATGGTAAAAGTTGGAATATGCAACAATTCCAGCAATGAGTGAGAACTGGTATTGCACAAAATATTTCGCAATTATGTCACACATGAAATGAATTATGCATGAGATTGGGCTCTATGGAAACTTATTGTATGGAATTATGGATCCTCTCTCAATTAACTAAGGACCTAATTCTATCCCCCCTCTGATATGATCCCAATTTACGTACCATTGAAGCTTCCATGGATCGACGAAAAGGTAAGTTCAAGTGGAATGCAGAATCTGGGATTTTGGTTAAGTATTGAAGTTGTTTCAGGTAGCGTACTTTGCCTGCCTGTTTCTTGCGTATGGATTGATGGAAATTGGAGAAGAGGGGTTTGTTTTGAACCTTGTGAGTTGCTGAACAAATGGGTATGGCTGGGAAGTGTTGTTTTAAAGCTCGACAAAACCCTATGGCAACACAGGCAAGCTGCCAGGAATTGACTAAGGCATGGAGCAGTTGCAAGCAGGTCACTTTGGGGTTTGTTTCACGACAGCCTGTTGGGAATCGCATCTCAAGGCTCATACCACATGAAAGCCTGTATTTTCTAGTACAAAAGCAAGGGGTTGGGTGATCAATTCGACAACTGGAAGGCTGCCAACGAGGGCTCTGAAGATGGCATCAAAACTATGTTCTACTTGCGTTTTAAGTTTCTGTATTACTTTAGGATTTGGACTGTTTTGTTTTTCCATGTTAATTTGGGTTTCCTTTGCGTTTAAGGTTGTTGTAAGTCTATTTAAGGACATACGAAGTTAATGTAAGAGGAGAGTTGAGTTGAATTAAGTTTTTATTCTGATTCCCAAGCTTGAGAGTTTGAGAGTTTGAGTTGGCTTTGGTTGCGATCAAAGTTTGTTGGCCGGCTTATTGAACGAGCAAACACACTCGTTCACATCGAAAGCTTCACAACTCGATCGTGCATCCTTCCAGGTGTAAGGATTCCCTTTTGATCCATCCAATTTCGAGTTCGAATCCGCTTAATCCGAGTTGGTTCTTGAGCTCGACTCTACTTGAGATCAAGGGTCTTGCTTGATCTAGCATCAGCGCAACTTTGATTACTTTGAGATCCGCTTTAGGCCTCATCAAGTGGTATCAGAGCCTGGTTCTACACAGCGGCAGAAGAGACGTTCCAACGGAGGAAAGCATCAAGAGAACAACGTACTGGACAAGGTCAAAAGGCCCTGTTCCTAGTAATCCGCCTGTCCTGCTCTCGGAGAAGAAGAAGAAGAAGAAGAAGAAGAAGAAACAAGCAGCAGCAGCGACCCAATCGCACGAAAACAACGCGACCCCAGCTGATACCCCTACAAATTCGGCGATGGATGATAATCAACCTGTCACAATGACGGGGCTGCAGCAATTCTTCCAAGAACAAGTAGCTGCTCTGCTTCAGCGTCAACTGGACAAACAGGAGGAAAAGTTCAAGGAGATAACAAACAAGTTTGACGCTCTGACCCAGCAAGTAGTGACTTTAAGCCAACAGGGTGGGAACACGGCAGCAATTCCACTCAGGACTCATGTCGCCTACGAACACGGTGGCCTACCGCTGGTAAATCAGAATACTCCGACAAGGACGGGAAACACAGGACAAGAACAAGCGCTGGCCGAACGTGTACTGGAGCTTGAAAGGCAATTGACAGCCCTAGACGTCAATGCTAATGACCCACAGCCGTTCAACCAGTATCAAAGAGGATTCCTCAGGATGAATCGCGAAACAGAGGACGTACCGGTGACGGAGCTGCGGGGAATTAAGCTTTCAATTCCAACATTCCAGGGTACAATCAATGCCTCTGCTTATTTAGATTGGGAGAGGAAGATACTGTTATTCTTTCAGTGCGGTCACTACACCGATTCACAGAAGATCGCATTGGCTACGTATGAGTTCACGGATTACGCAGCTCAATGGTGGGAGCAAGTGCGTCTCCGTCGGCAACAGAATTTGCGACCCCCTGTGACGACCTGGGAAGAATTACGAGGGTTGATGAGGGACCGGTTCGTGCCAGCGTATTATCGCCACGAATTGCACGAGTCGTTGCAGGCCATTCGACAAGGTACGAGGTCCGTGGATGACTACTTTAAAGAGCTGGAGCTGCTCCTTATTCGAGCTGATGTACGAGAGGACTAAGAAGCAACGATTTCACGTTTCCTCCACGGCCTCAATATGGAAATAAGAAACGAGGTTGAATTACGCCAATTTGTGGGCTTAGAGGAGGTGGTTCATCTTGCCATAAAGGTGGAACGGCAGCTGAAAAGTGGAGCGGGACGTCGATTCTCACCCTCTATTCCTAGACAGAACAAACCTTCCGAGACTGTGCCAGTCGAAGCTACCAACCTAAATCGGCCTACGACGTCGAAACCCGCCATTCAATTGGGTGGACAGGAACGAGTTGGAGTTGGGACAAGCAAGCTGGAGTGCTTCAAATGTCATGGGCGTGGGCACAAGTCATTTCAATGCCCAAATCCAAAGGCCCTGGTTCTTCGCGATGGCGAGTATTATTCCGAATCAGAAGATGAGGAGAAGAGGCCCGATCAAAGTCCCTCCGACGAAGAAGTTGACGAAGAGATCATC